TGTTTTAGACAGGAACAGTAACACAGCTTCACAGAGTTAAACAAATGCAGCGCAAACAGAAGTCATACACCTGAAAATAATATTCCCAACATTTGTCTTTTTTTCTAAACAAAAATGAAAACTGTTAACTTGAACATAGTAAAACTTAGTAAGAAAATAATATTACCCAACACACACTCAAGAGCAGTAGACAGCAGGCAATAATCAATCTGAGGGCTGAAATCAATAAACAAAGAGAAAAAAAACAAAGAATCAATGAAACAAAAAGTTGGTTCTTTGAGAAAATCAACAAGATAGACAAACCCTTATCCAAACTAACTAAAAGACTGAAAATATCCAAATTAACTAAATCCAAAACTAAAGAGGGACATAACAACAGACACCATGGAAATCTAAAAAATCTTTAGGTCATACTTCAAAAACCTATAGTCCACAAAATTAGAAAATCTAAAAGAAATGGAAATTTTTTCCCATAGGAACCACTTACCAAAGTTAAATCAGGATCAGATCAAGAATTTAAATAACCGAGCAGTGGTGGCACACGCCTTTAATCCCAGCACTTGGGAGGCAGAGACAGGTGAATCTCTATGAATTCAAGTCCAGCCTGGTCTACTGAGCGAGTTCCAGGACAGGCTCCAAAGNGTAAGCTCCAGGTTCATGAGAGACCTAGTCTCAAAATGACTGAGAAAGATACTGACATCTACCTCAGGCCCCTGTACACACTCACATTAAATCATGTACGTAATGTATACAAAGAGAGAGAGAAAGAGACACACACACACACACAGAGAGAGAGAGAGAGAGAGAGAGAGAGAGAGAGAGAGAGAGAAATAATTTAAATAGCCCCTGAGGAAATAGAAATAGGTATAAAAACTCTCCCAACTAATAAAAGCCCAGGGCCAGATAGTTTCAGCACAGAGTTCTACCAGAATTTCAAAGAGCTAATACCAATACTCTTCAAATTGTTTTACATGATAGAAACAGAATAAACATTGTCAAATTCATTTTATGAGGCCACAGTCACCCTGATACCCAAATCATACAAGTATTCAACAAAGAAAGATTACAGACCAATTTACCACATGAACATTTAAGCAAAAATACTCAATAAAATACTCAAAAACCAAATCCAAGAATGCATTAAAAAGATCAGTCACCATGATCATATAGGCTTCATCCCAGAGATTTGGGGATTGTTTAACATATGAAAATCTGTCAATGTAATCCACCATATAAACAATCTGAAAGAAAAAAAACATGTCATCTCAGTAGATGCTGGAAAATCCTTTGACAATACCCCTTTATGATAAAAGTCTTGGGTATCAGGGATACAAAGGACATATCTAACATAATAAAGGCAATATACATCAAGGCAAGAGCTAACATCAATTTAAATAGAGAGAAACTCAACGCAATTCTACTAAATCATGAACGAGATAAGGCTGTCCACACTTTCCATATTTATTCAATATAGTACTTCAGATTCTAGCTAAAGCAATAAGACAACTGACGGAAACCAAGAAGATACAAATTGAAAAGAAGTCTAAGTATCGCTTTTTGCAGATGATATGATAGTATACATAAGTGAACTCAAAAATTCTACCAGAGAACTCTTTACACCTGATAAACATCTTCAGCAAAGTGACTAGATACAAGATTAACTAAAAAAGAATCAGTAGTTCTATATACAAATGACAAATGAGCTGAGAAAGGAACCAAGAAACCAACACCCTTCATAATAGCCACAAATAATATAAAATATGTTGAGGTAACTCTAACCAAGTATGGTACCTTAAGTGTAATTTCCCCTTATAAGTTCATAGGGAGAGGCACTAATTGGATGTGTGGCCTTGTTGAAGCAGGTATGGCCTTGTTGGAGGAAATGAGTCACTGTGGGACAGACTCTGAGGTCTCCTATGCTCAAGTTACACTAAGTGAGATACTCAAACCACTTTCTGTTGCCTGTAGGTCAAGATATAGGACTCTCGGCTCTTTCTACAGCACCTGCATGCCACCATGGTGTACCATGATAAGAAACTATACCTCTAAAAATGCAAGCCACCCCCAATTAAATGTTTTTCCTTTATAAGAGTTGCATAGTCATGGTGTCTTTTCACAGCAGTAAAAACCCTAAGACACCAAGCAAGTGAAAGATCTGTGATACAAACTTCAAATCTTTGAAGAAAGAAATTGAAGAAGTATCAGGAATTAGAAATACATCCCACCCTCATAGATTGGTAGGATTAACATAGCAAAAATGGTCATCCTACCAAAAGCAATCTACACATTCATTACGTATGCTTATGTATACTAATGTAATCCCCACCAAAATTCCAACACAATTCTCTACAGAACTTGAAAGAACAATACTCAACTTCATATAGAAAAACAAAAAACCCAGAATAGCTAAAACAATCCTATATGGTAAAAGAATGTCTGGAGTGGAGGTTTCACCATCCCCGATTTCAAGCTATGCTATAGAGCTGTAGTAATTAAAATCACATGGTACTGGCATAAAAACAGACACGTTGATTAATGGAATTGAATTGAAGACCCAGACATAAATTCACACACCTATGGATATCTGATTTTTGGTAGAGAAGCCAGAAATATACAATGGAAAAAAGCTAAAAGCATCTTCAACAAATGGTGCTGGTCTAACTGGATGCCAACATGTAGAAGAATGCAAATGGATCCATATCTATCACCCTACAGAAAACTCAAGTCCAAGAGTATTAAAGACCTCAACATAAAATCAGAATTAATAAATGGGACCTAAAACTGAGAAGTTTCTGTAAGGCAAAGGACATGGTAAATAAGACAAACAGAATCCTACAAAATGGGAAAATATGTTCACCACCCCCACATCTGGCAGAGGGATGATTTCCAAAATATATGAAGAACTCAACAAATTAGACATCAAAATACCAAATAATCCAGTTTAAAAATGGGATACATATCTAAACAGAGAATTCTCAACAAAAGAATCTCAACTAGTTGAGAAACACTTAAATGTTCAACATCCTTATCTATCAGGGAAATGCAAATAAAACAACTCTGAGATTCCATCTTACACCTGTCAGAATGGCTAAGATCAAAAACACAAGCAATAGCTCATGCTGGCAAGGATGTGGAACACTCCTCTACTGCTGGTAGGAATGCAAACTTGTACAGCCACTTTGGAAATCAATAAAGTGAAGCAGTCTAACTCAAGACCCAGTTATACAACTCCTGAGCATATACTCAAAGGTTTCTCCACCCTATCACAAGGACACTTGCTCAACTATGTTCAAAGCTGCTTTATTCATACTAGTCAGAAACCGGGGAGCTGGAGAGATGACTTAGCAGCTAAGAGCACTGATTGTTCTTTCAGAGGAACTGGGTTCAATTCCCAGTACCCACATAGTATCTAACAACTATATGTAACTCCTGTAGAGTTACATATAGATATACACACAGGCAAAAACAAAAATGCATATAAAATTTTTAAAATTTTTCTTAAAAGTCAGAAATCAGAAATAATCTAGATGTCCTCAGCTGAACAATGGATAAATAAAATGTACATTTACACAATGGAATATTTCTCAGCTGTTAAAAAACAATTACAACATGAAATTTTCCAGGCAAATGGATGGAACTAGAAAAAAATCATTCTGAGTGCGGTAATCCAGACTTAGAAAAGACAAACATGGTATGTACTCACTTATAAATGGATATTAGTTAAAGATAGTCATGCTATGGTCCACAGACCTGGGGAGGCTAAGTAACAAGGAGTGTTTAAGGAGGAACTCAAGGATCTCCCTAGGAAGGGGAAATAGAATAGATATTGCAGGTGAACTGGGGGAGGATGGGGTTGGAAAAAGGAGGGATCTAATAAGTAGGAGAAAATATAGGGAGAAATGACTGGAATTAGGGGGCAATTCAGGGGCAAGGTGGAAACCTACTCCAATGGAAACTCGTAATCCTAGCAAAGATTCCAAGTAATAATGGACAGAGTCTGAAAAGGCCATCTTCTGTGAACAGTCAAGGTCTCAAGGGAAGGGACTGGAACACCAACCCAGCCACAGAATCTTCAGCCTACAGTTTTTCCTGTCCTTGGGGTGTTCTGGGACCCGAAACTAGTAAATCATCATAGAAAAGATCAGAGTCTAGCTGTGGGATGTCTTTCCGTACACTGTTAATATGTGATGCTCTCATTGGTTGATAATAAAGTTTTTTTGGCCTATGACAAGGCAGGATAGAGTCAGGCAGGAAATCCAAGCAAAGATACAGGAGAAGAAGGGCAGTCTGAAAGATAGCAGCCAGCCACCTAGGAAGCAAGTCATGTAGAAAATGAGATAACATCATGGCTGTTATTCTTTTGGCCCTTTAAGGGGAAAGCCATGCCCACTCCCCCGGCGACCCCCCCACCCCACCCCTGCCTCGCCATCTTGGATTCTCTCTCTTACTGTCCCCGCTTGGCGTGTGCACGTGTGCCTCTCTGTCTCTCTCTCCTCTCTCTCTCTCTCTCTCCTTTAAGTAATAAATGTTCAGTTTTATGCCTATTTACTGTGTCTGTGTGCCTTTTACCCGCCGCCTGTTCACACCGGCCCCCTTGGGTGGCTCTCCCGGCCGCATGGCAGGACCAGCCCGCCCGGGATGAGCCACCACTCGTAAACCACCGGGGATCTTGCAGCTCCCAGAGCCTGCTGCCTGCCTACTGCTGCCTGGGACTTGTAAGCATTCTTTAAAAATCATAAAAATGGCCCATGGCAATACACAGATTAATAGAAAGGGGTTAATTTTAATGTAAGAGTTAGCTAGTAATAACCCTGAGCCATCAACCAAATATTTATAAGTAATATTAAGACTCTGAGTGTTTTTTTTTTGTTGTTGTTGTTGTTGTTGTTTTTTTTTTTTTTCCGAGACAGGGTTCCTCTGTGGTTTTGGAGCCTGTCCTGGAACTAGCTCTTGTAGACCAGGCTGGTCTCAAACTCACAGAGCTGAGTGGTTATTTAAAAACAGCTGTGGGGATGGGCAGGATAGAAAAACTTCCAGTTATAGAGAGTCTTCATCTAGCAAGTGATGGGAACAGATGCAGAATCCCATAGCCAAAAACGTTGGGCAGAGCTTGGGGAATCCTACAGAGGAAGGAGAGGAAGGCTAGGAGAAACAGATGGGCCAAGGACACCATGAGACCATAGTCCACAGAATCAACTGATAGGAACTCTAGGAGGCTCTCAGAGATCAGAGAGCCTGGATGGGTCTGACTTAGGTCCTCAGCATATATATATTATGGCTAAGTAGCTTGGTGTTCTTGTGGGATTTCTAAAATTTGGAGCAGGTGTGTCTCTAACTCTTTTGTCTACTTGTGGGATCCTTTTCTTCCTACTGGGTCACCTTGTCCAATCCTCATGTAATGGTTTGTGTCTGGTGTTATTGTAGCATATTATGTCATGTTTGGTTGATATTCCTGGAAGGCCTGCTCTTTTCTGAGAGGAGAGAGGGTATATCTCAGGGAGAGGGGATGGATGGGGGAGGAAGAATCTGGTGGGGAAATTGTGATCACGATGTAATGTATGAGAGAAAAATAAAAAATTAGAAAAATTTAAAAACAGGCGAAGCATAATCATTTTTCTCTTTTATTATCGTGTTTTAATATAAATATATATTTCATTTTCAGAAATAGAAGGGACATGTCATTTACTAGTAGTGTCTTTGCCTAATGTGCACAAAATCCTACATTTTAACTGCACCATTGGAAAAATGGCTTTCTCCTCATCTTAAATTGAGCTGTTGTTTATTTTGGCAATAATATATACACCAATGTAGGTCTGGTCTTTCTTAACCACTGAGCAATTTCTTCAGTCAATCTGATCTTCCTTATAAGTAGACCATTTGTCACTGTATGTGATGTTTAGCATATAAAGGGCGCTGAAGAAATGACTACTGAGGAATGATAGCTGTGCCACTGGTGGACTTACGGTAACTAACCAGGTAGGCAGAGCATCCAAAGCTAAAGGTCAGCCAAATAGAAGTAACATCACCACTAGTGTGAAGTGCCTCTTTGTAGATGACTGGATTATAGGCATTGTTTACCTGAACTCTCCAGCTCAGCCCCATTTCTCTTTCTTCACACCCCACCCTCTCAGAAAAACAGCCAGAAAGCCTAGTTCTGCATTCTTGGTGATTGAGAGGGGGCAGCTCCTTCCCTAAAGCTGCCAGCTGCCCAATCCCTGCCTAAAGTATTATAATTGGGCACAAACCCAGCTTGTGGCAGATACATCATCACCCTGTGCCTACATGGTATTTAAGCTCCCTCCTTTAAATCGGCCATGTGATTTTTTTTCTACCCCTTTCCCAGGCTCCGTCTCTGGGGGCTGGAGGAGTCACCTGGGAGTTGCTTTGCTCAGAATATACCTGGCCTCTTACTTTTTAATTTGGCTTGATCTGGCTTACTGAGTCAGCAGAGAAACCTACTATTGGGCATCACACTTATTAGACATCCTACTTCATGATCTCTAAACAGGACTAGTTAGAATCATGGAGTCTTAGACCCTCACTGGAGTGGAGGCATTTTCTTAACTAAGGTGAAAAGAACCAGCATTCCCTCGATCATCCTGGGTTAGAAGAAGGCCAATATTTATACAGCACCTAATTCTGGAGTGAGACATAGGCATGACTGTTTTTTAGTGTGATAAAAATGGACCACTGGGCTCAGGGTAGACTGGCCTCCCACCTCGATCTGATTAGCAGTCTGAGCAGGAACCAGCAGGGCATCTGTGATGAAATAAATGCTCTTTCCAGAGCAAGAGCCCTTTCTTTCAAGTGAACTGTGGTTAGAGTCTTAACTCACCTGGAAGGCCAAAGGCATTATGGTGGAGGTGGGACAGGATTGTCGATGCCTGAGAAAAGGACACAGCTTCTACTAACACACTCAGGGCAAAGATCTTGTTTTTCCAGGGAACAAGTACTGGACTGGGAATTAGAATCTGTTCTGCTATAAGCCACAAATAGTTAGCAGAGTGTTCAGCTTGTTAATGAAACCCAGCTCCTGAATGGCCCCAGGTAATAATTAACAACCCAGAACTCTGTGGCAGTCTAATCTACAAACCTGTCACTTTTAGTCTCTGGTACAAAGGCATGCCCTGAACCCAACTAGTTTAAACCAATGGCTTTTGTTTTTCTTTTTAAAGTCTGTTTGCATTCCTTAAGACTCACCCTGTGCACTTGGAGCTGTGGGGGAGTGATAGGAGAATTCAGGTGCTCATGGAAAACCTGGCTTTGACCTTTCAAATAATGAGAGTCTGGATTCCAAAAAAAAAAAAAAAAAAAGTAAAAAATTAAAACTGTAGGTATGGGAATAAGGACAGTTGGCACTTTATCCTCTGGCTTTTATGGGTTTTAGCATCTTACAGAGCTGGGAAAGGCTGGTCTCATCAACCCAAATTAAACTTTTGAAATCTACCTTAAAAAATAAAAATTTAGGTGGGTTGTTTTAAAAGAGAAGCCACTAAACTTCATTTTAAGTTGCTTTCCTCTGTAAAAGCTAAGCATTCACCACAGAGCTAATACTCAGCTGCTCGTTCAATCTTCTAAGGGTGCTTTTCAGTAAACATGGTGAGTCACTTATGAATAAAAGCAAAGATAGAATTCAGAGAACATGAAGCTGGGGTTGATGGCTATAGTCATATCTTAAGTGTTTAGCTGGCTCTATTTATGTTAATCCTTATGAATCTACTTTTTAAATTTTTCTTTAAAAAGCTTCCTACAGCTATCTAGTCCCACTTCAAGCATCAGTCTCTATGACTTGTTTTTAAAGAACCAACTGAGCAACCAGGTGCCCAACTCCATAAACAAACAGTAAACAGTGAACTCTTCCAGAGGACCCAGTCTCTATTGACTCTGCCCCTCCTCGTCTGAGTTCTCAGTTAGGTCATTCTGCCTAACTTTATCCTGTCTACCTTTTGGTCAAACAGCTTTTATTATTAACCAATAAGAGAAATACATACTCTCAGGGTACAGAAAGATCTTCCCCCAACACACATTCACTCACACAGATGCACCAAGCAATCAATCTGAAAAGAAAAGAAAAAAATAAAGTTACTCCCAACTGGATCTTGTCATCTTCATGGGAAGTGAAATGCAATGGGATGTGCAGACTTGTGAAAGCCTAAAAAGCTTTGATAATATCTAAATGCCCACTTCAATGACTGCCTTAAAGCATTCTATTACAAACTTGGGTGCTCTCAATTGAGAAACCTCTTTTGTAATGCTCTGTGGATGGATAGCCATTTGTAAGGAAATGTTAATAAAGGCTTGACAGCTTTAGACAGTATAAACTGTGCTTTGCTGCAGTAAAAGAATTTATTCCTCACTCATGCTACACATCCAAAAATACTAACCAGCTGAAGGAAGAATCTGACTTCAGGTACAACCTCATCAAGACACCTCAAGGTAGTCCTTAAGATACACCTTCTGGTGTTTGGGGAAGTGGCTTAGCAGTTAAGAGAATTGACTACTCTTCCAGAGGACCCAGGTTCAATTCACAACACCCACATGGCAGCTCACATCTGTCTGTAACCCTAGTTCCAGAGGATCCAATACCCTCACACAGATATACATGCAGGCCAAACACCAATGCACATAAAAGATAAATAAATACTTTTCTTAGGAAAGAAGATATACCTTCTGCTGTCTTCATTGTTCACTAAGCTCAAGGAGTTTTCATCATTGCAGGCTGACAGCTCTAAAACTCTAAGTTATGGGAACTAAGAGAACTTCTTCCTAGGAGTTCACACAAACAAAATCTCAGAGTTACTGTACCTGGAAAACGTGAGTTTCACAACCATCCCTGAACCAATCCCTGGAAGAATGGAAAGGATAATGACTAAACACTATTGTAACATTTGGGCCAAAATGAAGAGGACTAATTTCTCAAGGCAATCTAAGAGAAGTTACCAGAGGAAGAGAGACTTTATTTAAAAAAACACAAGCAGGCCAGGCGGTGGTGGCGAACGCCTTTAATCCCAGCACTCGGGAGGCAGAGGCAGGCAGATCTCTGTGAGTTCGAGACCAGCATGGTCTACAAGAGCTAGTTCCAGGACAGGCTCCAAAACCTCAGAGAAACCCTGTCTCCAAAAACCAAAAAAAATAAAAAAATTAAAAAAAAAAAAAAAAACACAAGCACACATGACAACTTCTGTTATAAAGTTTGAGGCGCTGCGTGCCAATGACTCCTGTTTACACTTTCTGTATGTTGGAGGATGACAGTAATGTCCCTGTGTGATCTCTAAACAGTGAAAGAAAGGCTATTCAATTTATTTATTCATCCGACAAATGATATTCAATATCTATAATATTCTAGAAACCCTTCCTTGATGGGAATACAACGTTGAACAAAATAGAGACTCTGCCTTCAAAGAGTTCCTAGAGACAAGGCCATTTTGTAAAAACAGTGGAGTAATGATCTGCATGGTATAATGGGGACAGAGTAGTCACTGTTCTGTTGCTGTGATAAAACACCATTACCAAGGCAACCTACAGAAGAAAGGGTTTATTTTGGCTTAGGATTCCAGAGGAATAAGAGTCTGTCATGATGCGAGAGTATGTAACAAATATAGACAACGCGTTAGAAGCAGGAAGCTGAGAGATCTCACCTTCATAACCAAACAGAAAGCAGAGAGAGGGAACTGGAAATGGGCTATGAAATCTCTAGTGACATATTTCCTCCAGCAAGGCCATACTTCCTAAACCTCCCCAAACTCTGCTATCAACTGGGGACCAAATATCCAAATACTTAAGTCTATGGAAGACATTCTCATTCAAAACACCTCAAGGGGTATACACAAAGAAGGGGTATGCACAAAGGGATCTGTGACATCTGACTGTTGCCTCCCAAACCTGTAACATGTTTAGAAACCAAGAAACTTGTAAGAACTACAATATGCAAGAATTGGTTTGTATATGAAATGTTGTATTCCTGAAATTAACTAAGTCAGGCGGTGTCAGTTATTTTTCTCCTTAACCAAAGAAGTGTGATTGTTCATATTTTTTCTCAAAGCAGACACAAAAGACCTAAGAACTTTTGTGTGTGTGAAAGAGACACCATTTTTGAATCTCTAGAAATACAGTCCAATCTAATTTTAAAAGCAGTAAAAAACAATCTAATTTTTTTTCTGGAGAACAAGCTTATGTAAATAGTTAGGTTTTCTGATCTAAAGATCAAAGTCTTGAATGCAAAGTCCTTGATGCCTCACTGTTAATCAGAATGTAAGATGAAACACATACTTGGCATTTAAATAGTGGCGGAAGTTTTTCAAGTGGAAATAATAAATGCCTCCAGGAGATAACTGTCCCATATTCTTGGAGACAAATAGCCAATAATTTGCAATCCCGCCTGCCATTCCAAATCAGAGAGCTCTCCAGGGATGGGGGCAGGTGAGTGTGAGTGAATGTGTTGCCATCTAGAATAAAGTCCTGAGCAGGCATACTAACAAGTCCACTCCTCCTGAAATCAAGGAAGTTGTATAAAATATAATGAGCTGCAAGAATTTGTTCATGCGTAAAATTTGGAAATATTCGTAACACAAATTCAAGTGGGAAGTGATATTTTCTGCCTAGAAACAAATTCATAGTAGGAAACTAGAAGGTAGACATACAAATTAAGGAGGTTTTAAAAACAGACTATTCTTCATTTTTATAAAAAAAAAAAAAAAAACCCGTATAGTGAGCATCTGTGATGGGCCTGGTGGTATGCTAGACAGTGTGTGTGTCGGGGGCTGTTTTACTTGTCCTTGCCTCATTGTCTCCCGGGAGAGATAAGCTCATAAGCACATAGTTACAGCAATGTATCGCATTTGCTGCATCAGACATAGTGCTGGAAGAGGGAACGGGTGTGTAAAAAGCTCTGTGGAAATGCAGCAAAGTCACTACAGAGGTCCCCTGAATGGAGCCATCAAGATATGCTCTATAGCTTTTGAAGAAGAGAATATGAGCAAGGCTGTACCTCTGAAGACTCCTGTGAGTGCTGGGAGGAGCTGACTGGAGAGGATCTGGAAATAGGAACAGCACCAAGGGGGACATGGCAGCTAACAGCTAGAAAATCATAGCATGACCTCACAATTGGGCCAAAGGAGAGGGTGAGTGAAGGAGATGTATCCATGACTTAAAGCTGGGCTAGCTTCGTTAACACGTGATTTATACAGTTACATCCAGGAGAGCCCTGTGCTCTGCTGTCACTGCCATTATTAGTGATAAAGGAATTACAAGTTGGTGCCCTGCTGGTCATGCCTGGGCTTCTGTCTAGAGGTAAGAGGTGAACCACATAGCACAGATGATACAAATGAGAAATAACTTATCTTGTTCTCGAAGGGTGGGTGGAGAGATGAGCTCAGTTTTGCACTTATATTTCTATTTTCCAGTAAAGGAACAACTTTGTGACCCGTTAGAAACTAGGTGCAAATTCTGAACCAGATACTGGGGACAGATGTAAATTCGGGAAGAGGGGGATGAGGTGGAGTCCCTGGATATGGATGAACGTGTGTGGAGGAAAGAAATGATGAAGATAAACCTTTAGGAGCATTGATGGTTAAGGGGTCAGAGATGGCCAAGAGAAATGGAAAAGTGTCAAATCCAGTAAGAAACATTCAGATTGTATCCTAGAGTTAGGATCAGTGAGCTTCAGACTTAACGAGAGACTGTCTCAATAAATATGGAGAACAACTGAGAAAGAAACCAGACCTCAACAGCTGTCCCCCATGCTGTACATGCACCACAGGCAAGCGAGGTGGTCAGGAGAGCAGTCTTTTGAAGAGTGCTGAAGGCAGGACTAATCCTTTGCAAATGCTTTGCACACTAACCAGGGGCAGGTGACCAGGAGGACTTGTCTGCTACTGCAGGAAAGACGAGCGGAATGGGATGGCAGTTGTAACTGGGGTACATGAAAAGCTAATATAAACCTTTGGTCCAGAGCCCTGTAAATTGATCAAGGAGAAAAGAGGTTTGCACTACTTTTCTGTTAATGTCTATAGATCTCCTTTCAATAGTACGGTACACTCTCGGTGCCCTGCAGGCTGTGTGCAGCCAGCCCTAGAAGATTTCAAGCATTGGAGAGGTTGGAGAAACTGCAGTTGGGTAAGTGCTATTTTGGTGAATAATTAATGCACATTTCTAAACTTGAAAAACGGCTTATTCTATGATCTAATAATTATAAACTTCCCCAGGCCCAATCTAATTGCAGCTAAGCTAAAAACTGACCAGTCAGCCACTTAATCCCTTCTTGAGATGGCTGGAAAACAATCAAGTCTGCCTGGCCTAACAACTGACTTATGCTCCCCTTATTCCAGGAACATTTATCCAGGGCAGGACTAAAGACAATTTTAAGGCAACTGAATTGGGATCTTAGGAAAATTTGGAAAAATCTCTTTCCCAATCTTTTTCCTTTCAAATCCTCAGTAATGCGAACCTTCTGTTTACCCTCCACTTAACCGTACAGTGCTACGAGACGTTTCCCGAGAGCCCTCCTGGCAACTCGCCTTTTCCAAAAGGTGAAGTTACTAGCAGGATTCTGTTTTGTAGTATGGGAGAAGGGCGTCTCATCAAAAACCTCCAGTTTCCTGACTATATCAACCTTTCTACCCTGAAGTGGGAAAAGGAAATCAAGAACTTACCTGGGTTCAGGTAAGATGCGGGCTATTAACCTTGTGTATATTTGAACAGACAGATAATTCAGAGCCAGGACTCCTTGGGTAACAAAGATTGTAGGTATGTCCTGAATAAATTCGTACGCAAAAAAAAAAAAAAAAAAAAAAAAAAAAAAAACCGAGCAGCTAATGATGTCCTTCCTATGAAATATGAAGTCACCACACATGTAGCACCCACGCAAAGCTCTAGCTGTTTCATCCTGAGATATTGGGTGACGATGCTCATGGGAGTTTAAGTTCCTAAAAACCAGGCAGGCAGACCCTCTTTCTAAAGGCTTAACCCAACTCACAGTCCTCCCAGCGTTAGGTGCGAGAGTTCTTAGCCTTGGGCTCACTTAGTGACTCACTTCTTACAAATGTAAATGTAGGAGTCCGCGGTAGGTCCCACCGGCCCCCTTTGCTTACCGCTCTGCACACCTACTTCTAGAACCAGCCCCAACGCATCCCTCCCGAACGCGCACTGCTGGGGAAGCGCGCCCAGGAGTGGACCCGCCAGCCCACGCTGGGAACTGGAAGCACCGAAGCCCTACTGCGACCGCAGACGCTGCCTTAAAACAAAAGAGGCGCCTAGGGAGGTGGGACCCGGACCTCAGCCCCCACCCCTTTACCCCCCTACTTGCTGCCTCCCGCCCCTCCGCCCCCCCCAACCCACCCCCGCTCTCTGTGTGCGCATGAGCAGAGGCGCCTCCCTCGGTTCCTCCCAAGACGAAACTTTGTAATTCCCTTCTTTGGGCCGGTGGGCGGCCAGGAGCCGCTAGAGCACTCGCCCCGCTGGTTGAGGAGAACAAAGTAGCTGAACAACTTGACCCCTTCCTGGGCCCAGCACCCCGCTTCCGTGGGAGCTGCAGAAAATGGACGAACCCCTCTCCTCTCTCTCAACATTTGCCTTTCCCCCCCTCTACCTCTCCAGAAAGGAAGACACGAAAAAAAGGCAGGCAGCTTCCCTACCGCGCCCTCCCTCCCCGGCTGTGTCCCCTCGGCTGAAGGGACTGGACATGGGGCTGCTCCAGGTGTTCGCCTTCGGTGTTCTAGGTAACACAGGAGAAGGGATTGTGGGGGCGGGGAGGGCCGATGTGCTCGGGCTTTGGGGAAGAAACCTTTAAACCGGTTTGCTCCTGCTTTGAAGGGGATCGGGAGAGAGGGACTGGTTGGAAATGACGCCCCTGGGATCAATCGCCACTCTCGCCGTGGTGGTGGTCGAGGACGCGCACGCGGAGGTCCGCGGACCCGCATCTCCGGGTTCTGCTCACAGAAACCGCGGTCCTGCGGACTTCCGAGGCAATCACTCCGGGGCTTTGCACGCTCTACCAGTTCGTGCTGTTTCCCCACCGCCGAAGGCTGGCTCCTTGGCTTGGCTGAGGATCCTCGAGAAACCCATTACGCACAAAAGTGTCAGAACCCAGAACAGGCTTCGTCTTGGAAACAGTTCGGGGGCCATGTGGCTTCAATTAACTATCGCTGTTTGTCTCGGGGTGGCACCATGAAGAGCTGGGCCGGGTGCCTTGTTGGAATGGCGAAACGTTGAAGCCACTACCGAACTAGAGAGACACCAACCGCCTCTAAGCTCAGGGAATCGGCTTCTATGGCAAACGCTGTGCCTCAGCCGGGCGCGATCGCCGGTGACCCTGGCGCGTGCATGAGTACTTGTTCTTGTGTCCCTACGCCCACAGATCTCCCACACTGGCACCGAGGGTGTGGGCACTGCCATGTGCACTCGAGTTCTCACAAGCGGGGGTGCAACGCTTGGCGGGGTCAGCCTCACGGCGCCCTGGCCCACGTACGTCGAAGTGGCCGGTTCACAAGGTCCACCTTTAGCGGAGGGGCTGCTTGGCTGGGGCAGATCGGAGTAGACAAAAGAGTCGGGTGGATTTCCTAGGTGATGCACTCAGCTGACTGCTGGTCAAACCTAATGACGTGTCTGGTTTTCTTTTCTCATCCTTCTCTACTTGTCCCGACTTTCCTGGTCTCTCCTGCGCTTATTTCTCTTCTGTGTTTTCCTATGTATTCTCCTTTCTTTTGAATCCCCCCCCCTCTCTCTCCCTGCCCCTCCTGCTGTTTTTCTTTTGCTCTGGCTTGTCCCTTGCTTTCTTCCTCCTTCTCCCTATTATAGCCCTGTGGGGTACCCGAGTGTGTGCTCAGGAACCAGAGTTCAGTTACGGCTGTGCAGAAGGCAGCTGCTACCCTGCCACTGGCGACCTTCTTATCGGCCGAGCTCAAAAGCTCACAGTGACCTCAACGTGCGGACTGCACAAACCAGAGCCCTATTGTATTGTCAGCCACCTGCAGGTAAGGCGGGTCTGACTGTGGACTGAATCTTCTCCTCCTGGCCGACCAAAGAGGCATGCCCAGGAGACTTCACATCCTGCTGTCAATTCAAATAGGAATTCAGCCAGCAGAGGAGCCCTGGGCTTTTGCTGGTAGCTCACCCAGTCTTCCCAGTCTCAGTTTGCAAAGTCGAATCTGCCAAACATTTCCTGCCACCACCACCATCAATCAGTAGGGGAAGCCGGGGCTGCAGAGAAACTTAGCCTCTGTGCCCCGTAGGGTCCTGCGTGTTTGATGTTGTAGTTGCTGCTGCTGTTTTTTCAATCCTTTTGAAAGTGTGTTGAAGATGGGTCAATCATCATCTTTGTGTACTGATCATTTTGTGTGTTGGGTTTTCCATCTTTCACTTGAGTATAAGGATGTTCCAAACTGAAGCCTTGTGAGGTGATTCAGTCAGGATCAGACACACTTCCTTACTGAAAAATGCCCTGGTTGTCATGGCATCGTGATGGTGAAAGACCAAAATGAAATTTCTGGGTGGGACATGCTTCTAAATGTGGACTCAGGTTTAGATTTCAGAAGCCATACTTATGTAAGAGCTAATATAAAAGAAAGAACATCATAAAATATCTTGAAACAGAATCTTTTTGCTTATTCTTTCCCCCAACCCCCAACCCCTGGGAAAAATTAAAACAGAGACTGGAAATGGAATGGGACTTCTGACAATTTCAGAAGGTTATGGAGTGACTGTGGTTCATCAGGACAGTGACCTGGGATTGCTTAGCACATTTAGTGAGGTGGGGTCACAATGTGGCAAAGTGGATTCCACTCATACGCTTCTAGGTTTATACAGAGCTGTCTAGACTGCTTCCTCCTGATTAGAAGAGAGGCTATAATTAAACTTTTTTTTTAAAGTTCTGGTAATTGTTCTTCAGTACTAGTTTCCTTGACTACAAGTTAATGAAGGCAATTAATGTTAGCTTTTCTAATAATAGCATTTCAATTTCACCTAAGCTGTCTTGCTAACGTTTACTTCAGAGGTCAGGGCACTTTGTCAATGGATCACCACACTCTGAAATCAGTTTGGGCTACAGTGAAAAGTGCACTTAAAAGCAAGTAGAGCCAGACTCCCTGATTTGTATGATTAGCTGTGACACTGTAGAGTGCTTCTCACAGATCTCAAGGTCTTCTCTGTTTCTGGAATGACTGGGTATAAAATGAAAGCAGAGAACTGTAGTTCCTGATCCCTTTGCATCCGTGCCCTGATCGTTCCAGGGTTCCTATTCCCCACCCCACCCCCAATCTTCAAATCATTTTTGACAAGAATTTAATTAAATAAATACAATTGTAAAGATATAATCTGACTTGACTTTATATCACCCTTGACCAAATTCTGTTTTATATATACATTAACCTGAAGATATTTCAGCCTTAACATAATTTTTAGATGTAAAAATAATCTGTATTCCAGAAACGAAAGGCACAGAGCCAAGCTCCATATGGGAAAGGAATCTTGAAACTGTTCTGTTTCTGGTTCACCACAATGTATTGTGAAGAGTAGAGATCTGGTGCCAGGGTAGCTGTGTTTATGTGGATCCCAGCACAGACCTTCCTCCTCAGGACCTCTCCCCTTACTCTGAGCAGCTTTGTGTTAGCCTGCTCAACACCAACCTCAGATGAAGTAGAAACTAAGAATCTGGCTGTCTGGACCCCAAGGACTCGATACTTTTGCCTCATATATGGTCTGTGCTTCATGTATGTTTTGGAAAATTAGGCCAACTGAATTGGGTTTTGTTCTCTTTTCCCCCCTGATTTTCAGTTTACATCATGTCAGTAAAGACTCTCTAATACCTGTTCTTACTACTGAGTAAGCTATTTACTGAGATTAAGATTTAACCCTAGAAATTTAAGTTTGATTAAATTGGTAGCTTATGGAAACAATGCCCCCTTTTTTACTCCTGATCTTAAGTTTGCAAGAAAGGAGGAGATAATTTTCCAGAGCATTTCAGATAATTCAATAAGTTTAAAAGTGAAAAATATGACATACATTTGCATAATTTTTCCACATTCACCTTTCTTGAAGGTGGTTGGTCATTTGTTTGTTTGTTTTTTTTTTGTATTGTGGATTTAATGATTTTTTTAATGAGATTGTTTCATAGACTCATGAAAATGCTGTGTTTTTAGGAGGACAAGAAATGCTTCATATGTGATTCCCGGGATCCTTATCATGAGACCCTCAATCCTGACAGCCATCTCATTGAAAATGTGGTTACCACATTTGCTCCGAACCGCCTTAAGATTTGGTGGCAATCTGAAAATGGTACGTGATTGGTGTGAGAACAAGTTCCATGGAGGGTGACTGACTGTTAACTGGGAAGCAAGTTCCCATGGGTATTTGTGACAGATTGTAGTCTTGGCCCTGTGATTAGAGCTACTGGCAGAATACTTTTTGGAGCATTCAACTTGCTTGGTCAAATCTGACCCTCCTTCCTGAAGTTTGTGTCTTGTCAGAAGCAGTGTTTGACCAAAGGAGTGTTCATAGGCCTCACCCTGAGGGGGCTTCTGGGGAGTGGGTGTGTGCTAAGGGGAGTGGGGAGAGAGCAAAGGAAGACTGCATACTCAGTCTTACACAGAACAGAGCAGTTTTTGTTGCCAGCCCCCCAGAAAAGGCAAACGCAGGACACCTTCTAGCTACAGAAGATTCATGAAACAAATGATCATCCCATAAAATAAGCAATGTGATATGATTGTACAGTTTGTCAATGTGCCTCTTTGCTAGCAGTGATGGGAATTCAGCCTTTTTTTTCCTTCTTTTTTGGTCATTTGGCTTAACCAATCAATCTGTTAATGTTGTTATAAAACCAAATTTAGGGAATACAGGAAGAGTTGCTATATTGGCTAGTTAACCATGTAATACTAGATCTTAGATGTGTGTTTTGAACAACCTTGTTGCTTTACATGAAGCACAGGATGGCTCCTACTTCCGTCTTCAAGTTACTGGGATTACAGGTGTGTGCTGCTGTGCACATTTGAGTTCATTTTTTTTTTAAATTATGGAAGAAGCCCTTGCAGAAGTGAACCTAAGCTTGGTTGTAAACAATGTGGAAACAACTAGATCTTCGCTACAGATCCTAGCTCAGGAGTTCTAAGGGGCCTGCAGGCGCCTGTCATTCATCTCATTATGAGGAATTCTTTTATGGCTGTCAGTAATTGGCTATGAATTGTGTGTTTTCTAGAAGGACTTGGTTTCTAGGGAAGGTTGCATGTTCATTGATCATGAATCCTATTGGTTCCAAACTTGCTTGAGAGAGATGAACCCTCAAGAAAGCATATAGATTACTCTTTAGAATGGATTGTTTTTACAAGGAAATACACTGGTTGGTAGTCCAGTGTGAAAAAAGATTCTACCAATGAGTTCCAGAGGACTGCGTACACAGCATAAACCTTCTTATGA